TATGTTTCACCTACACCTCTTGATAGCGTGGCACATGCTTGCTATCAAACAGGGAGCTGGACAGGGACAGGGCACTGAAAATGGTGTGCACTGCTGTGTTAGGGGTTGAAGTGCCCATGGGATGGGAGAGCTGAAAACTGGGAGCAAAACTGCAAGCATTTCCCTGAATGCCCACTTCTGATCCTACTGGTATCTTTAGACCAGCTCTTGCATCAGGGAAAGCAGAGAAGTCCGAGCTGCACTCTCAGGGGGCAGTGAAGAAGAGCTTGCCGTTTTTGTTGGCATGTTTTCCTTGCCTGTGTTGGGTGCAGACATGTCACCCGAGCCTGCATTTCTCGCACTTTAGAGATGATGACTGTCACAGGTCTGGAAAGCCTGGGCTCGTTTCAGTAGCTTTCCAGCCTTTGTGGCTGCAGGTTCCTTCACAAGCAACAAAAGCAGCAGGAAGAAGTGCAAGGAATTAGAGAGGACTGAGGGGGTGGGCTTGCTGCAACTGGCATTCCAGCTCCCTCCGTGTGTGCTGGGTCCCAGCATTCCCGGCTCCTCATCCAGCTGCACATGCTCTCCCGCAATGGGGTTTGGGGAACCTGCAGCCACAAGCCTGGGGCTTGGAATAGGCAGAGCGCTAGTCCAAGAGAGGTGAAAGCATATGCAGTGCAATGGGAACTGATGGGCACCAGCTGATACAGGTAATGGGTAGTGTCCTGTGAAACACTGGGGCTACAGGTTTTGAACTTAGACCTGCAGGGCAGGAATGAGACTGCAGGGATAAGCAGAACCCACTAGAGGAGACCCCTAGATCTCAGTGGCTCACACGTTCCTCATGTGAGGAGCTGCAGCCTGGGTTGTGTATGTGGCCGTGTTAAAGTGACGTGTTTAGGAGTGCTGGTGTTCAAGGCTTGTCCCCCACACGGACTTCGCACCTCACTGTTTACTATTGCTCTAGGCGCTGCCTGCACCAAAAGGCGCTCCAAGGCAACGAGGATCTTCCTGTGGCTCTGTGGGATGGAGAGCCAACACGAGCGTTCCCCCGAGGACGCAGCTCCCACCAAGCCCGAGCCGGTTGTGGCTGCCCTGCATGAGGACCCGTTGGTGAAACACGTCCTGAATGTGAACCTGATCCTCTGCATGTGCGCCGGGATCTTTCTCTGGGGCTACTATGCCTAGCGCTTTGCCACAGGACACCAGGGACACCGTCACCTAATCCCAGGCCTTCCTGTTTAGATGGGTGTAAATAGTAATAATTATTAACTAAGAGGTGCTGCAGTCTGTGATCCTTCCTCACGTGCCGCAGGGGAACACCCAGAGCCTTGCTGCCGCGCCGGACAAAGGGCTTGGGCCCACCTCTAGGTCCAGGCCGCCCAAGCACGGGGAGCCTAGCCATATCCACGGCGGATGGGCTGGTTGGGAGCCGTTCCATGGAGTGATGCATCCTCTGACCACTGGGAAACGGTGCTCTGAGCATGGCCCCTGGGCCACATCCACCTCTCCGAGCAGAGTCGCCTGGCCTATGCGGTCTGGGGAACTGACCGTGGGGGGAGCGGCGGCCACGTTCACTGCCGGCAGCCCTGGGGCGATGCATGCTGCTGCCGCTCTGCCTCCTAACTTTGGCCCCAGACGCTAGATCTGCCTTTCTCGCCCTGGCCGCCGGCCGAGCCCCTCCCCGCCTGGGGGTGCGACCATCGAGAGGAGGTGCCAGA